ATTAATTCGTCTCCAATGTAACCGAGGAACCATCTAGGAACGCACCACCACCACACTTGTGGCCAGCTCCCATAGCCGGTCCACCTCCCTCTGCCTCCACCTGATAAATTCCTTTTCCGGGACCATGCCGATATCCATCCCGCCCTAGCGGATTACCAGAATGTCCTGGACAGTACCCATTGTTACCTTCTGGAAAATTTTCTCCACTAATGCCTTGCCACCAACATCCCCAAAAACCAAAACCTCTCCAGCTCCACCAATTCCAAAGGAAAGCCCAGCTGCGCTTGACCCGAACCGCGGCTCCCTTCTGCACCCCTTAGATGTAAGAGTGGCCCACCAACCATGCCACCAAACCTGAAATTAAAGTAATTAGCGACAAGGCATAGCCCCAAACACAAACCCATACGTCCATAGCCATTATACCCAATAGACCAGCCGTAAACAGGACTTAAACCATACTGACTACCACCTACCTAAACCACACTTAAAACAAGGTGGGACGCCTCTGTCGCCGCCATTATCCGGGAAGAATGGGCCCCAAAGTGCCTGGGATCCAAACCCAACATTGTCAAACCCCTCCGAACAAACCCCTGTGGGAATTGAATCGTGACAGCGCCGATCCGTCCCCTTTTACCAGTAAGCCACCCGGGATGTCCGGGCAAAGCTCCAAGTAGCATGATGCGCTTGACACCGGGCGTACCCCTGACTCCAGCAGGGAATATAGCTTTACCAAACCTCCTTTACCAGACACATCCGTTCTTGTACAACCCTACTGAATCGTTACCTTAACCGACTGAGGTTCGACAACCGAGTGTAGAACCCCCCAACACCCGCCCGAAAGGCACTCACCAGCTCCCCAATCCAAATTGCCCCAAGCCCCCGAGAAGGCCACCGCAAACAAACTGACCGCAAAAGTAGAGTAACACACCACCAGGTGTTGCGTTTCCCAAGGAAACCAGCTGCCCAGCACCGACATATTTCATGCCTCTCCGTAAGACCCGCGATGCCTGACGGACGTGCCAACGTTCCGTCAATTCCTCCCAATTGGTCAGTTTGAACCCTAACGCCAATGCCTCCATGCTCCTGTCCATTGCCGATGGAGCTAACGCTGAACGAACAAGATGCTTAGGAACCACAGCAAGGTATCCCTTCGCCCCTCCTTTGATTGGGACCCCCAAGTGAAACCAACCGCCTCGTCCCACATATCCCAAACCTTCACATAGGCAGTCCCGTGCCCGGTGCCATAGGATTCTGTATCGATCCTCCAAGCATGACGTCTCGAGCTGCCACATTTCCTCCAGACCGGCCTGTCCCTCCTCCAGTGCCCCCTGGGGCCGCCATTCGCAGCTTGTCCCCTGAACCGAGGACCCGGCTGGATGGTAAACCGCATGGACCCCGCCGTATTGTCCGTGAATTACGACTTTTCATCCCTTAATCCTTCACCTTTTAGATCCACGGCCACTCACAATGTCAATAACTCAAAAGATGCCAACTTCAAATAAGAGGACTTACCTTTCATGCCTCCCGCCACCGTCCCGCGCACCACCTGCCTTCCAGGTATGCCCCGGAATCTATGTTCCCAGAGGCATCCGTGAACAACTGGATACCACCCGCAAAGGCTCCACAAGTAGCCTTCGCCATGAAATGTCTACAGACCCATTCCTCGCGACTAACCCGACATGCGATCTTGAAACTGCCTTATGAACAACTGCGATTTCTCAGCGTGACCTTCTTGGACCTGTGAACCTTCACCCTGAACTCCCGAAGGGCAGTCAATTGATCCCCAGGCAATCAACACTCTCCTACCATCGAAACAATTTCCAGCCCAAGCAAAGACGTGCGGTAGGATTCCCGCAACCGTTAGGTATGTCCACAACGGCCCGGCCCAGCCGTGCCCACACAGCAAGCTATCTTACAGATAATGTACTAAGGAACCCCTTCCTGATTCCTCTTTCACCACCCACTCCCAGACTGAACCAACTTCCCGAAGTAGGAACATGAAATGGAACTGCCCCTTGGCAAGCAGAGGTTACCAATAGGCACCTGCAAACATGCAACCAAAAAGATGGAAGGTTTGCCAATAATCGAACGCGTCCCGCTCCCCTGAACCAACTCGACGGCAAGGCCGATTGATGCCAAAGATACAGAACAGGTCCACGTCGATGTCCTTATTTACCGATGCCCCTTTCGGGTGCGATAAGTTTTGTATCAGACGGAATTTGCCCGCCCTTTTCTAGGGGACCGCCCCCACGGAGACACCCACAGATTCCTCGAGCGGAAGACAGGAAACATTTTTTACAAATCCCCTTAATCAAATCTTATCCTCCACCTTCGTTGCACCGCGCCTGGAATATTGCCACATCTAACTGTTCTCCTGCCCCGTCGGATGTCCGCGGTACCGGTACACTGTATTCCCCTTCCCTTACCCAGCACGCCGTCACCACCACCCTAACTTTTGCCTCCCGACCGCCTTCCAGTGACCCCACCCTTCCGCACCATGGGGACGGCCCCTTTTTTTCTTGATCATGACTCTAAAATGATTTTTGCAATTTAAAAAAGTGTGGTGTGTTTATTGACGCCCGAACCCCCGTCTGCACTGTCCTTCCGTCCACCTTGCCAGGCCCTGGAGTATCCGGTGGACGCCGACTCCTGTCTGCGCTGGTCCCACCTCAAGCCCGTAGGAGTAACACTCCTCGACCTGCTGGGAGAAGATAACCTGGGTAGTCTGTTCTGATATAACCTTACCAGCCCTTCCTCCCTGCGCTCTGTTCTGTCATCCTAATCTCTGCTCCTTCTTGCTGCCTGACCTTCCTGGCCACAGGCGTCACGCCTTTGCCCTAGTGAAATCCTGCCAGATTAAGCTGAAGCACTGCACTAAGACCTCCTCCTCTCCCAGGAACTGGACCTCCTCCTACCACACCAACTTCTTGACGGGCTCCTCATCTGCTCCTCCATCCCTCATCCGACCTCTACGCTACTCCTGTGTTCCTGCTCCTGAGAATGCCCCCCAGGGGGCTCCCACTTGCCTCTGTGCCTTACGTCCATTTCCACCCGTCCTTGTCCTCCCTTCTGCCCTCTGCTTGCAGTACCTGGCCTCTCCCCGGCTGCCTCATGCACTTGTGGCCCCTTTAATTAATCCTGGTTGCTGGCCTTCCCCTCTGCTGCACCTGTGAAGACTCCGCCTGCTCCCTTCCTTCACCTCTGACCTGACCCTGGCCCCATCCAGGGCCGCCTCCGTCTGTGTCCCGCCGACCTGGACCCCCCCGTCTGGCCATTGGGGGGGCGCTTTTACACTGCTGGCCCCTTGCATCATTCCCCCCCGTCCCTCAGGTATGCCACCAGGGGCAGACTCACCAGGACGCCTCTTGCCGCTCTCCCTGCCTGGCGGCCATCATGTCATGCTGGATTCCGCTGTCCTTTGTGCTTTCCTGCCCCCCGCCTTACGGCAGAGGGCACTCTTCCTATGCGGCCTCATCATGGCCTGCCACCTTGCCTGACCGGTGCCACGTCGAACAGACGGTGCCGGCTGTTGTGGAAATGAGATATTGACATATTTTCTAGTTAGTAAAATGCCTATTTACTCATTTAACTGAAATCAGTGTATAAGCTATTCACGCATATTTAGACAAAATGGCCACTAGAAGCTTCTAACCCCTCCCTCCCTATAACACCGACTAACTACCTCGTGCAACAAGATGGCGCTGGAATCCATTACCATTACCATTAGTAGGCAGAGCATTAGGAAGACCACTTAACACCTAACCAATTATTGATGTTTTATTTCATGTTATCTCTGACAATGCTTATGATGTAATTTTGCTTTAAAAGGGACCTGCCATCCCCTCTGAATAAACATTCCTCAAGTTATTCAACAACCTGAAACCTGTACAAAAAAGATTAGGTGTACACTCAGTATTGGAAATTAATGAAAAAAACTACCACTGGTGTGCATATGGAGCGCTTACAAATTTGTTGACTCACCCATATGGGTTAACATACATATGTATGGAAAACGTGACTCATAGCGATATATATGAAACAAATGTAAATGCAAGAAATAGTGCAGATAACGTTTTCAATAAGTGCAGTGAGGGAATATTCTCTATGGTCTCACTCACATGTAGTAGTGCTCTATAGGATAGGCTCAGATCTCAATGGCCTGCGTGTGCTTATGGTGACACAGTACTCAATCGGTCCTCTAGGCGTCTGGAGATCCTTATGCATACATGAGAGAGAAAACAAGGGGAAGAGGAGAACCCCTAGTGCGATGTACAGTGTCAAATAGTGCAGAAAAAGTGGCTTCTCACCTGATGTGGAGCCCTATACCTGGCTCCTGGTGTGTAGGTGTCTGTGCCTTTAAGGGGGCAACTACCCTTCTTTAAGCAGCAACAATGGAGGGTGGATTCCAAGTATAAAACAAAATTTATTAAATAAAATAAAAGTAGTAAAAACTTACAAATAAAATATGAACAAAATTGTGAGAAATTATAAAATGTGGAATCTTCAATCCTCCAGCCGAAACATGTTTCACTGTACCCAGACATCTTTTTGTTGCAAATTATTAACTGAAAGCACCTTGAAAACACACAAATTCTTATTTCTGTGAACCTGAAACCTGTGTCTGGTGTGAATTACTTCAGGGAGCATGCACGCATTGTTTCTTAATTAGGCCAGGGGCAGATACACAAAGAATAATCAATTTATTGATTGATTTCCATTTCAATTGGCGCCCAACGTGGGTCACCGGATTTACCGGTTCGGAGGGCTGGAAACCAATGGACCGGAGCGGACCCCCGGAAAGTGGGACAACCGGAGCCTGATCACCTCCATAATACAGCCGTTGTCTGTATTATTCTCCTGTTTTTGTGTCGGTCTGTCTCCGTGTCCACTTCCGGCTTCCAGAAGGCTACAAGAGACAGGTAATAACTCATCCGGTGTCCCTTTTTAATGAACCTGTCGATTGTCTATCTGCCTCCTGTGTTTTTGTATGAATGTGTGTGGTGGCTGGTTCTTTTCATAATTTTAGCTTGACTGCCTAGTGGGCAGGGGACGCATACAGCCAGTAATAGGCTGGGTACAACCCGGGTAACGGGGTTGGGATATTGGGTACAGCCGGTAAGAGGCTGGGTACAACCCGGGTAACAGGGTTGGGATATTGGGTACAGCCGGAAAGAGGCTGGGTACAACCCGGGTAACAGGGTTGGGATATTGGGTACAGTCGTTAAGAGGCTGGGTACAACCCGGGTAACAGGGTTGGGATATTGGGTACAGCCGGTAAGAGGCTGGGTACAACCCGGGTAACAGGGTTGGGATATTGGGTACAGCCGGTAAGAGGCTGGGTACAACCCGGGTAACAGGGTTGGGATATTGAGTACAGCCGTTAAGGGGCTGGGTTACAGCCGATGGAAGGCTGGGTACAGCCTAATGGGAGGCGGGGTTTTATGTTTTCATTGTAGACCTGGTAAAGGGTCGGATTACAGAGTTACAGCCTAGTGAGGAAGGGTGGGGTTATCACTACTTGCTGTTTGGTGCATGCTGTTTAAATATGTACATGGCCATATTACTCTCTGTCATTTTGTGGTTTCTGTTTAACTGCTGCTACAGTGTGGGTACCCTCGGTGTGTGTGTGTGTGTTGTGTGGCTGGTCCTGGATTCTGGGGTTTACACTCATCTATATGTGTGTGATTTCTGTAAATGCCTTTTGGTTAGTGTTGCCACGTTTATCTTCTCCTTTGTTCTCTACCTCTCCTGTGTCTGTTGCCCAGAGCTGTGTTAGTCACCCACGCTCGCTCGCTCCGGTCCGTGGCCACCATTTCGGGTGGGCGGGCCCTCGTGACTAGTCTACGTTTGGGGAAGACGCACGGGACCCAAGTCCTCGTGGCAGTCGAACACTGCAGACATTCCTATTTCTTTTTCTCTATATATCTGTCTCTTACACGTGGCTCTCTTTGTTTGGTTAAGATGGGGCAGGAACACGCTAGACCTGCTAAGGGAGTCTTTGCTTGTGATATTGTAAAGGAAAGAGCAGGGGAGGATGCAATGTTGAAAATTAAGAAGATAGCCAAGGTATGTGGTTTCCAAATGTCGCCTAGTGGTAGGCTGCAACCCGAGTTCTGGAGGAAACTGCTCGTAGATAAGGAGGGTCTATTGCTGGACAATGGGTTGACAAAAGCTGTAGAGGCTTGGCATCGGGTCGCTAGAGGTCTCAAACGGGAGGGTTGGACAGAGGAAGAGTTAGACTTTGAGGGACAAACTATTTACGTGTATCACCGAAATGTTTGTAATAATGATGTATCCCCCACTGCTTTCCGACCACCGCCCTATGATGGCGCCCAGAGCGTGGTGATTAATTCCCGCCCAGCTTCCCCCGTTACCGCCCAGACGACACCCCCCAGGGGTGTAAATCAGGCTCCCACCCCCCTATGTCCCGTGCTCGGAGCCGATGGAGCCTATTACTACCCAGTGCCAATCCATTCCTTCCCACATGCTCCTACACCCCAGTCATTTTCCCAGCTTCCCACTGTCCCCGACCAGACCCTGTCATCGCAGTCACCCCCCCGATGTCCCTTCATTTCCTCCACCTCCTTGCCCTCCGCCCTTCCCACCATCTTTGCCTGTCCCTACCTCAGCCCTTCCTTCCCCCATTACCAATCCCGCCCCGTCAGCTCCTACTCTACCACCCGATGTCCTTGCCCCGCCCCTTCCTCCTACCACCCCGACTACCCCCGTCTGTTCTTCTTCTCCTTCTTCTTCCTCTGACCTCTCATCTTTTCTCTCCGCCCTCTCATCCCTAACCCATCCTACTATTCCCACCTCTACTGACTCTATCCCTCCCCCCGCATCTGCTGATTCTCTTTCTTCCCCTCCTACTGATTTCTCATCTCTTCTCTCCGCCCTCTCATCCCTAACCCATCCTACTGTCCTCACCCTACTACTCCTATCTCCCCCCTTACATGTGTCGATTCTCCTCCTCTTTCTTCCCCACCTACTGATTTCTCATCTCTTCTTTCCGCCCTCACAACCCTAACCCATCCTACTGTCCCCACCCCTACCACTCCTATCCCTCCCCCTGTGTCTGTCGACCCTTCTCCTTCCTCTCCTCCTACTGATCTCTCATCCCTCCTCTCCGTCCTCTCAGCCTTAACCCATCCTACTTACTCCACCCCTACTACTCCTGTCCCTCCCCCTGCAACTCCTTCCTCTCCTCCTACTGACCTCTCGTCCCTCCTCTCAGCCTTAACCCGTCCTACTAACTCCGCCCCTATTACTCCTATCCCTCCCCCTGCAACTGCCGATTCTCCTTCTCCTTCCTCTCCTCCTACTGACCTCTCGTCCTTTCTCTCCGCCCTCTCAGCTTTAACCCATCCTACCATTCCCACGCCTACTATTCCTGTCCCTCCCCCTGCATCCTCTAGTTCTTCCTCTTCCCCTCTTCATACTGACCTTTCACCCCTTCTCTCCACCCTCTCAGCCCTAACCCATCCTACTATCCCCGCCCCTACCACTCCTACTCCTCCCACTATGTTGTCTTCATCTTCTCCTCCTACTGACCTCTCATCTCTGCTTTCCACCCTTACAGCCCTAGCCCGTCCTACTGCTTCCATCCCCCCTACTCCTATCCCTTCCCCTACCACCTACGATTCCCCCCCTCCTCCCACTGACTTGTCATCACTCCTATCCGTCCTCTTGTCTTTGGCTCGTCCCACTACTTCTGTCCCTCCTCCTACACCTCTCGATGCTAAGCCCCAACTCTCTACTCCGGGTCCTCCTGCTTTGCCTTCCCCCTCCCCACTGCCCCTAGACACCTCTGACTCAATCTCCGCTTTAGCCCATGTCTTAAATACTCACTTGTCACGTCCAACCCAACCTGCCCCCACTCCCGCCCCTTCCATGGCTTTGGTTCCCTATACTCCCCCCGTGAGCACTAGTTACCCACCATGGTGGTCGGTTCCGATGAGTCAGAAACTTCGGGCCAACCCTATGTGATGGGTGTCTCCCCACCAGCCTCTGTTTTCCATCCAACCACGTCACCCATCACGGGACTCCCGACCCCTGCCCCTTCAGCCATCCCAGCCTCCGCCTCCCTCGATGCTGCATCCCATCAGGGCCTCGTTACTCCCGGGGAGGTTGATACAGGAGAGCATGGCCACCTCCACCCTCGGAGTAATAGACTCCCACGGAGACAGATCACCTCCGGAGTGCACCCCCAGGCATCCCCTGTCGCTGATGGTGCACCACCTATGTATGTCACGTTTAACCCCTCACAAGCCGCCACCTTGGTTACCTCCCTCCCTGACCCAGAGAAGCATTCGATGCCCTTCTTCCGCAGAATGGCTCAGATTCACAAAACATACTCCGCTGCTTGGAGGGATCTTTATAGTTTGTGTGAAATAAAAGCTGGTGATGCCTACTGGCCAATAATGGCGAGGAGTTTCAGTGATGCTCCTCTTACTACTGATACAGACTTCCAGTCCGGTATTACATTTTGTGAGCAACTCCGTGCTTGGGCACAAGACACAAGACAAGCCAGGCCACTTGTATAAATGGCATTGTTCAGGACAAGCTTGAGTCAGTTGAGAAATATCACTCACGCCTAATCCAGACCTTTTCAGACTTAGGGTTTAGTACATACAACAAAGCACACATCCAGATGTTGTCTGCGGCCTTCGTGGCCGGTCTGAAGGAACACATCCGCAAAGGTTTAATCCTCTCACGTCCTGAGTATAGAATCATTCCCCTAGACACCCTTCTGTTGGTTGCTAGAGGTCTAGAGTCAGTATTACAACCTACACACAGGAGAGCTAGCCCACTGATGTTTACCACCACAACACCTATCACAGGACCTGCCCATGCCACCCAAGGTTACGTGCCACAGACTCCAACTCCCATACGAGACTGGACACCCACAGCAACCAGGACCTGTTATAATTGTCACCAAGTCGGTCACTTCCGGAGGGAATGTCCCCACCCAAGGTTGTATCGGCCACTACTCCCCCGGTTTTCTTACCCTTCAGCCACTGCTTATGGACACCTCCCTCCAGGGTACTTTCAGCCTCCACCCCCTCCCCCCATGCCACATTTTCCGCCTCCTGAATATTCCCAGGCTCCACCACCATCTGCAGATGCCCGTGCCTACCCTCCAGCTCCTGCTGATGGGTTTGACACTGATGATTTTCAAGAGGGGCGGCCCGCCCCTAGACAGAACCGTACAGCCCGCCCCGCCCTGCAGGCGGGCCTCCCCGCCACCTCCTCACGCCTCTATACCGGCCCTGACCAGGCTCATTTAGATTTGTTGCAATAGGTAACCGGCAAGCCTGTGTCAGCCACACCTGCCATGGCAGTGTCTACGGGGGATGGGGGTGGGCCACTAGTTCTACCCGTAGAGGGTCATCCCACTACTTTCTTAGTTGACACAGGTGCAGCTCGTAGCGTTCTTAGAGAACAAGACCTGCCTGACCCATCCTTCCTGTCAGATACTGATGTCTCCTGTGTTGGTGTTGACGGTAACCCCCGTAGCAGCTCACTCACAAAACTCCTCCATGTGGGATCAGATATCCTCTCTCGATTTGTTGTTTCCTCCACGTGCCCCATTAACCTTTTAGGTGCTGATGGTCTGTCCCGGCTGCAAGCGTCCATTACCTTTACTGCAGACGGCCAAGTTCAGTTAAATACACCCCTGTCACGGAAAGATACTTCAACACTTTGTTCCCGCCCCATACTACTACATCTTGCCTCTCCCACAAGGGAATCAAGGGTCCCTCATGCCCCCAGTGCTCTGGACAAGATCCCTGCAAAGCTCTGGTCCACTGGCCCGGATGATATTGGACGCCTTAAAGTTCCCCCTGTTGTGGTCACACTACTGCCTGGGGTAGCGCCCCCCCGAAGACCCCAATATCCACTGAAACCCGCCCAGGAACTCACCATTTCCAAGCAAGTGGAAAGCCTCCTTGCTAAAGGTGCCCTTGTCAAGTGTGTGTCACCATGCAATACTCCCCTCTTCCCTGTCAAGAAGAAAACTGAAAAGGGGCAACCTGATCAGTACCGTATGGTTCAGGATTTACGTGCTGTTAACGAAGTGACTGTCAAAGATACTGCAATTGTTCCAAATCCACATACTCTACTGTCCCAGGTTCCACCCACTGCTACAGTTTTTACTGTTGTGGATCTTGCCAATGCATTTTTCAGTGTGCCCCTTGACCCATCCTGTCAACACCTCTTTGCCTTCACCCACGAAGGTCAACAATACACTTGGACTGTCATGCCTCAGGGGGCTCAAAATTCTCCTACTCAATTTGCCCGCGCTATGTCAATGGTTCTGGAACCCTGGCAAAAGGCTCATTCAGATGTAGTCCTACTTCAATATGTTGATGACTTACTTCTCTGTGCTACTGATCTCCAAACTGCTGAACAAGATTCTGAGGATCTCCTCTGCTTCCTTGCTGAAGAAGGCTGCAAAGTCTCCAAATCAAAACTCCAGTGGTGCCGGCCCTCTGTGGTCTTCTTGGGACATTGTCTCTCCCATGGCACCTGTCACCTTACCAAACAAAGGATCTTGGCCATCTTGAATCTACCATTACCTGCCGCTCATCAGTCTCTCCATGCTTTCTTAGGCCTCATCACGTATTGCAGGTCCTGGATTCCAGAAGCTTCCCAGCTAATGCAACCTCTCTACGATGCCCTGAAGAGCGAACCCTTTTCTCTCCCACCACAAGCTATTGCCTGTTTCACTGCCCTGAAGAAAGCTATTGCTTCTGCACCAGCCTTGGGTCTACCAGACTACCAGCTGCCCTTCAAGTTGTTTGTGTCTGAAAAATTGGGCCATGCTTCCGGCGTTCTTACTCAAAAACATGGCTCCAGACAGAGGCCCATTGGCTACTTCTCCTGCATGCTTGACTCTGTAGCCAGAGGTAGTCCCTCTTGCCTGAGGGCAGTATTTGCTGCAAGTGCCTTGCTGGACAAAACCAATGACTTTGTTCTTGGCCACACTCTGACCATCTTGGCACCTCATGACATTTCTGCAATCCTTCAACAGGTTCAACCTAAGCATCTCTCTTCTCAACGTCATCTACGTCTGCAAACTTCTTTATTATTACCTGACAACGTCACCCTTCAACGCTGCTATTCACTGAACCCGGCTACTCTTCTGCCACTTCACAAGGGTGGAGTGGCACAGTACTGGTACAGTCTGGATATCAGCCCAGATGCCCGGATGGAATTTCAACTACCTACTCTTACACCTCCACATGATGTGCAACCAGAGAACTTGTTACACTGTACCCTGTGGTTCAAAGACAACCCAGGCCCTGATGTGGATTATGAAGAAGAACTATTTCAACTTGTGGAAATTCATATCACATTGACAGACTTACTATGGGACTCCAGAGGCAACATGGTCCTGCTAGTACACCTCCCAGCGGAAGTATCTCACCTCTACCGTCATGGGGAGACAGCTGTCCCACACATATCCCTCACCAAGTCCCCTGATCTCTCATGGAAAGATTTAGGCCCAATGGCCAAGTCCTGGAGTGCAACAACCCAGGAACAACTGAACTCTATGGGAGTAACTAAAAAGATTATCAACTGCAGTACAGTTGGATATCCTAGATACCACACAGAAATTTGTGAAGACCTACCTGCCACGGAACATGACTCAGAAACTCCTCATGATTGCTTTGAACAGATGAAGATGGAAACTACCCATTTACCAACTGTACATGAGACTGCTCTGCTTAATCCAGACCAAACACTGTTTGTGGATGGTTCCAGATTTGCTGATGAACAAGGGCAATATCACACTGGATATGCAGTTACTACAGAAAGCCAAATATTACAGGCAGCCGCACTTGAGCCAACTAAATCAGCTCAAGAAGACGAGCTAACAGCCCTCACGGTGGCCTGCAAACTATCTGAAGGTCTACGTGTCAATATTTATACAGACTCAAGATATGCCCTGGGAGTGGCACACGATTTTGGCCTAATTTGGAAAACTAGAGGATTTCTCACAGCTACCGGTACTCCGGTGAAACATGGAGCGGCCATTGAAGGACTGATGGATGCTTTGGTGCTTCCTGCAGAAGTGGCAGTGTTAAAAGTAAAAGCCCATGGAAAATTAAATTCAGAGGAAGCACGAGGAAACCACTTAGCTGATCAAGCCGCCAAAGAAGCAGCACGACAAGGGTGGTAAGTGGACAGAAGAGTGGCCACTGAAACAATACCCATCTACACTATGCAGACATTACCTACAGATCTTAGACTTCTAAAGGAGCAACAAGCAGCTGCCACCCCTCAGGAGAAGCAAAGTTGGAAGAACAAAGGGGCTATCCTCCGAGATGATGTTTATACCATCAATCTTAAGTTCTGCCTCCCCAAAAATATGTATCCAGCTGTTGTCCAATGGGCTAATGGACCAGCCCATTTGTCAAAGCATCTGATGAACTCTCTGATCGATAAATACTTTGAAGCACAAGGCATCACTACTCTGACACAAAATTATTGTAGATCCTGTACAATATGTGCCAAATGCAACCCTGGAAAGATCGTTAAAACCGCACCCAATCACCTGGCCAAGCCCCAGTACCCTTTCCAGAGGATACAGATTGACCACATCCAGATGCCAAAGAGTAGACGTTACAAATATGCACTAGTCATTGTGGATATGTTCTCAGGGTGGCCAGAAGCTTTCCCAGTGGCTAATCTCACCGCAAGAACCACAGCCAAACATCTTTTGACGGAAATTGTCTGCCGGTATGGAGTTCCAGAAGTGATTGAAAGCGACCAAGGAACCTCCTTCACCGCCTCATTGACACGGGAAGTCTGGGCAGCACTGGGGGTGACCCTTGCCTTCCACACGCCATATCACCCACAGAGTAGTGGTAAGGTAGAACGCATGAATGGCACACTAAAAGCCAGAATGCTCAAAATGTCCCAGGAAACTAGCATGCCCTGGCCGCATTATTTAGTGTGAGGTACACCCCTATGGGAAAATACAACTTATCTCCCTATGAGATCCTGTTTGGCACAGCACCAAGGTTAGGTTGCTACTTCCCCCAACAACTCCAGATTCAGTCAGATGCTATGGTAGATTATGTAACTGCTTTTTCTCATGCCTTGACCAAAATCCATGCTCAAGTATTTTCTTCTATTCCAGATCCTGAGTCGAATACAGGTACACACAAGTTGCTTCCTGGTGATTGGGTTATGGTCAAGAAATTTCTCAGGAAGCACACCCTTGAGCCCAGATTTGATGGTCCTTACCAAGTGCTCTTAATCACAGCTACCTCAGTTAAATTGGCCGGGAAGAGTTCCTGGATACACGCCTCACACTG